GACCAATCATTTGCTAAAGATCATTTTTAAAAAATGACATGAAATATTATTAATTTTTAACTACACATCTAGTTGATTTACTGAAGTGAACGGAAAATTTAAGTGGTTAGTTAAGATATTATTCTGTACCTATATGCCAAGTTTCATCAAATTCTGAACGTCAATTCTAAAACCGGTAGCACTACCTTAAGTAATATCATGTAATTTTTCAACGGAATTTCATCAAAATTGATCAATACTAAACAACACACTCACAGTTGATTCCAAATCAAGCATAGAAGTTGAATGGCTGATTGATAATCTTCTATGACCATTTCTCAGCAAAGCAGACTTTTACCAAAAGTCTATCACTAATGATGATTGCGTTGAAACTAATACTTGTAGAAGACCACTGGTGAAATAAATCCGAACAAATTTAAAAATGAATTACGTACTCGAATTCACCGGTTACTACATAAAAGATGCAAAATCTAATAAAAACTTCCAACTGAAAGAATATTGTCTAATTCCAATTGTTAATGGAAAAATAGAACATAGCAACCGGGAATCTGGCATAGTCTATCCGGAGTACAATTGGTCTCAATTGTCCCACAATTACCAGGATAAATACAGATTTACCTTTTACAGGAAATACGGAATTGAATACGACGAAGGTACCTGCTCGATGGCACAAGCGATTGACACTATAATCGGTAATTTGAAAAAAGCCCGCACTATTTATCTGAAGAATCAATCCAAAATAAAATTCCTAACAGAATTTACGGGAAAGGTTTTCAAAAATGTGGCTACCTTGAATTCAGACTATAAAGCGACTCCATATGTCGATCTTACGATTTGTCCTTATCACGTAGACACCCGGAGACGTTGTTCAGTCCGAAACGCAATTTCTATGGCTGTATGGGTCGTTAAAAATGAACTTGAATCTAACAGCTTTAAATCATATCCAAAGTCGAATATAAGTAAAGTTTTCAAATTGAAACCTAGCCATGTGATAGATAAGTTCAGAGGGCCCTACAGGAGGATTTCTTCGGAATCTTCTGAAGAAAAACCTCTTCTGAACAGCAACAGTTCAGATAATTTGGAGCATCTCTTTCAAGCTAAAACTTCCTCTCAAGAAGTCAATGACGGACTGAAAAGAGCGCCTAAAAAATTTAACTACTTGAAAGACTCTGATCAATCGGATTCAGATGAGGACGTTATGCAATTGAATTTTGATCAACGAAAAAAATTAAGTTATCTGAGAGATGACAAAAAGAAACCAAGTTATATGGACGATTTAATGGAAATTGACTTTGAAAATAACCAAAGACATTACCGGAGTATTAATGATAGAAGTTATTGAATAGATTGAATAACTGCGAAAATTGTGACAAAGAATGTTGAAATGATAAAATTTACTTTGATAGATTAAAAAAAAATTTTTTTGGAAATAAATCTTTAGACAATCCAACAGCAGCGTTGTGATATATCTATAGCTAAGTGGTATACTACTTTTTAAAGAGTGCGAACCGATCAGGGTTCGAGTCCGGTCTTGGGTATATTTGACAATTATTTTTTAAGTCCTGTATTTTTCAATGTAAATGTTTTTTAGCTTAATTAAAGAAGAAATTATTTTCCAATCAAAAGATATTTTTTGATACTATTAATTAAAAAAGAGAAAAAAATAATTGATTTACGAAATCAACATTTTTTAATCAAAGAACAAATTCATGAAGAACAAAAATAATTTTCGTTCAAGGTAACCTTTTACCTATTTGACTTCTTTTATCTACAGAGACTTTTCGATTATTGGTAATTAAGATTATAGCATTATCATCATCTTTACCAAGCATAGAATGTTATCAGTACATGCTTGTAAATTAACAATTGAGGTATGTTTCTGTTCTTTTGAAATTACATTTTTAGAAAAAAAACAAGGATCGTAGAAAACATGTTTCATATGAAATTTCTTTAAATAAATAATATAATTTATTTCATGCCGTAAAATGGACGGCAGAGATCAGAAGATGGTACCTCTACTTTGGAGGTGTGAAAATCTCGACTAGAAGGCATTCAATGACTAATTTTGATAGTTAATAAGCAATAAAGGGCGAAGTTTATAGATTTTAAGCATAGTTACTTCTACTAACCCCAAGAGAAACTAGTTTTGAGGTGTACACTCAAGAGACATTACGCAATCTTGCTAACGACCCTTGACACGCCGTAGTTTTCCTTCGGGAGCCGCGATTGGTTAGTACGCAAGCGGTGATTAACACGTGAGCGGACTTTAGAGGCTAATCACACGTTTTTAAATTACCCGCGATAACAGGTTACATGCATTGGGTTTTTTACACTTTTTAGATCGCGCTGCAAAATACTTTTTTTTTCTCACTTTTAAATGAATTTAAATCTAAAAGAACGCGAATAATTTCTTTCTTTTTTCAACAAAAGAAATTTTTATTACAATAAAGTTCAATCGGATTTTAGATCAACTCGATTATTTCTTCAATTCACTTATTACTTATCTACCTTTATTTCATTTTACTGAGTAGCAGATAAAAGTTGTGAGCAGCAATAGATGCATAGTCTGGATTAAATTGATTGAAAATTTTTTACAGATAAGAATTACTACTAGATGGATAATAATGAAGAAATTAATTGCTCTTTTTTTCACAAAGATTTCTGTTCATTTAATCAACCGTCGATTTAATTTTATTATTATTATTATTATTATTTTATTATTGCCATCCTTCTTATTGTTACAAGTTTGTGAAAGTGTGATTTAAAGTAGTGGTCTATAAATTACAATACAAAATGAGTCTATGTATGTGCAATAAAAGTAAAAGTGCACAGAGTAGCATTTTCTCGGGATGATTCATGTTGCAAGTTTCCATACACACTAAAAGATGATGTACTGGTATGAGCCTAAGGGCTATTCGGGGATTTTCTATCCCGCCAAATATGACAAAAGACTTATTTTGAAAACCCCATTTTGTGCTCTACGTACATCTAACTTTGCAAAAGAGTGTAAATTTCAATTATCGTTCCATTTTTCAATCAAATCTTGAACTATGGTCGTAAATCATAGTGTAAAAATGGAATTTTTATAGAATGTAATTTTTCCATTTTTTTTATCCGTACAGCAATTGGTCTAACTCCTTATTTTTTAGAGGGTGATTTTTTAACATTTTGATGTACTAATAGTCCGCTTATAAATTATTTGAATGATCCTAATCAAAATAATATATCAATTCGATCCCAAAATATCCATATGAGTTTAATTTTATAGAACGATTACTAAACCACCAAATGATTTTGAATACACCGTAATTGCTAAGGAATTTCTAGGATTCAGATTAATAATTTAATCTCGCGTATACCGCCAAGATCTTTGACTTTGAAGCTCGAGCGTACGGTCTTAGTTTACTTGCTATCGGACTTTACTGTTACCGTCTGAAGCGACTTGATCAATCTTGCCGCAACTGTGGAGTTGATTAGACGGTTTGTTATTCAAATTCATCTGAAATTGTTTACCCACATCAATATTCTAAATTCACAGTTGCGAAATACTCTTTCAAAATATCAAGTTACTAAAAACAGTGTAAAAATCGGCATTAAATATTCGCTTTCATCTGAAAAAATTATTCTCAACGCAAGTAAATTTTTCTTAATTTAAGAATTTTTTATCTTGAATAAAAACACAAAAACATAAACGGTAAATAAATTCATGGCTTGTAACTTTCAATAATAAAAAACGTGCAGTTTTATTCATTTATTCAATTTCATCGTGTTACAACAATAGGATTATTTTTCATAATTATCATAATAGTAATAATAATAATAAAGCTAACAAGGCTTTTCGTTTTAAATTATCATACGCGTCAATGATTTTTTTTTTTTTACTCATTACTTAGTCGTATTTATTATATTATTTAATTCCTTTTATCACGTACATATATTTTTAATTCTGGCATTTTGCGTGCAAATATATATAGGCTACTTTTATTATCAATAATAACAATCATAATGTTAAATAAAATTACATCGTTTATATTTAAAATAATGTCATCGCTTGTTTTCTTCAAACCGGCAGTTAAATTAAATTTTATATATGCACAATAGATGACGTGATATTTGAGTATTTATTTAAATAATTAAAATTTAAATTTATTCACTTTACACAATTTCAAAATATAAATTCACGCCTAAAATAATTTTATGATTGATTTCTTTCCAATAAAATTTAATATGAACCTCTGTATAATTTAAATTTCCCGCTTTATTATATTTCACAAGGCGTGACGTCACTAGCTCCCCACCACCCACATTTTATCAGCGCCATCTATCGGATTATCTAAAAAATGTTGCCGAAAGTTACCGACTGTAGGTAAATAGCTATTTTTTTTTTAACAAAATGAGTATGACAATAAAATTTTAGAACTACAAGCGTTTCATCCAGCTTTCGCTAACCTTTCACACAAAATTATATTGAAAAACAATTTTTAATGAAAATTTTTTTTTTCTGGGCCAAAGTTTTGAAATAAATCATTCTCACGATTACTTAACACAAATACACGTATCATTAATAATAATTAAAAATCTTAAATAATAAAAATTTCAATAACCAATAAATTAATTTAATTAATTGATTATTGTAATGAAATAATAAATTCAGCATTTCTTAAAACGCATTACAAGACAATATTTACAAATTTATTATTACTTTTTTTTTAGTTTATTTATGTTTTAATTGGTAAATAGCAGAGCTAGTAATTAACTTAATTATCGGTGATTAAATATTTATTTTTTATATATTAATAGTCATTATTATTATTAATATAATAATTATAATAAATGTTTAATAAGTTTATAATAAAATGACATGTCTTCATTGTTTTATAAATAAAATAATAAAAAAGGATTGTTTTATTAATAGATACTCCATTTCTTCGAATGACGACCCGTGCTCCGCCATCTTGATTCGTTCGTCCATTTTGTGGAGCTAAAAATTTTAGCGGCGTCTAAGCTTTTGCGTGCGAAGCTATCGCTCGTGAATTTTTAAACATTTGGGCTTGCCTTTTTTAGTTAAAAATGTATAAAATAACTGGCGGTAATTGTTAATATTATTAAAATTTGTTGCCGGTAATATTTATCGGTCGTCTTCTTGATTTTTGGCCTTTGCTGGTGAATTCTTCGGGCTTTGAGTTGAGTTTTGATGCAAGTTCTTTGAATCCTTAGTCATTGATGATCTGACATCAACATTGATAATTAATAATAACATTTTTACAATTTGATTGTTAATTTATTAAAAGTGATGTCTTTGTTTTTGTATTTTTTTATCTCGTATTTGCTTTTAATATTCAATATTCTGAAACGAGTGTGTTGTATGTTGGCGCAGGTTCGCTGGGTAATGTCGGCTGATTAATGAATTATTTATTCAACAGCGCCCAACAAATAAAAAAATAAATAAAATATTGTAATTATCAATATTAATAAACAATAGTCGTTTGATTCGAGATTCATTTTTGATTTTCAGCAGCTTGCTCGCGAGATTTGTCTGCTCGGCTTAGCGAATAAATAAATCACAATAATACGGCAAGTATCGATAAAGTGAAGCATCTGGTTTAAACAAACAAACGTGTCAAAAAATTACTAAATAATCGGCGACGTGTCACGCTTTGATGGGTTTAAATGTTTTGTTCCGCGTAGAATAATATCGGTGATAACAAAAACGGAAACAAGGCGCTCGCCCTGGAAAAAGGGGTGGTTGCAATAAATAGTAATGTTGGTTAAGCCATACTGACGTGGGTTTTGTTGGTTCTGTTAGTAAGCAGACAATCGACCGATGCGTCTCGCAATAGACCGCGGGGTCTCGTCATTATACTTGAGTGTTTATTTGAAATAGTTTAAATGAAAAATCGAAGCTGGTGTCGTTATTCGTTGTGATGATTCGTGAAAAGTTGGTTAATTTTTGCGTGATTGGGGCTGATAATTAATCACCGAGCTGTGCTTCGAGAGACGATCGTTTTTGTGGATGTTGACCGAGTACTTCGTCGAGGATTTAATCTTGTTATTAAAAATTTATTGAAAAGTTTATTGCCCGAGGTGGAAAACTCCCTTACAAAGATTGAGACACTGCTCAAGAATGTTGCCATCATTCAGAAGACCTTTGAGTTGAAATAGTTAGGAGAAAAAAAAGTTTTAAATAGGTACCACCATTGGAAAATCAGAAACAGTTACGGCCGATTCGGAGATCGGGTCATTGTTCATTTTTAAGCATGTCAATAGATTACATTAGAAATTTATGTATTCGAGTAGTACAGATAGTGGACTATAAAGCTTGGAAAAAATAAACAAAGACATCACCTTTGGTATTGATCAATAATTACAAACTTTTAATTAAATTGTGATGATTGGAATTTCGATGAACTATTGAGGAAAAGGAAACGGGTTACTTATTTTCCGGTTATAAATGTCAGGTCTTGTCATTTTGTGTTAATAAATGAATCTGTCACCCGTCAATTGGTTAACTAATTCAATTGATTATTTAATTAATTAAAAACTTTAATTGACTATTCAGTATTAAATTAATATTCCTCGTCGGTGCTAAAGTTAATTAATTTATAAATAAATATGAAATATGAATATCAAGGTATGTCGTAAATTACACGGAATTATCCATCAAACCCAGATCCCTACGAACTTTATCAACCGACGAAATTTATTTTCCCAATAAAAATAAAACCCAGAAGCGATAAATAAACCACAGGGCTTACTGAAATTCGACGAATTTTCGCTAAAAATAAATTCATCTATTTCAAACTTTTTATTTATTTTTCCGTTAATTTAATAAAAAATAATCAACTCTGATTATTCAAAATAAAAATAGCACAGAATCCGAAAGTTGGATTTCTTTTTCCAAAACTTTTAATCAATAATTAACTTTGCTAAAAATTAAATGATAATGAGAAATTATTTTTAGAAAATGAAAGAATTTTAGAATAAAATTCATTACTGTCAATTATTACAGTAATACGAACAGTTTTAATAATTTATTTGTCTCAGTATTTGAAAAAAAAAAAAAACAAAAAAAAAAATTATTTTTTTCATCCAAATTTAAACGGCAGTGATGAAGTATAATATTTGGCGCGCAACGCCATCTTACAGGGAGTTTAAAAAATAAATTTATAACAATTACAAAAGTAAAAGAGAAATTACTGCTTTAAATATTATAAAATCGATAAAATTACGATTAAAAGAAAAAAAAAAAGGATTTATATGGGAAGTTTTTAATAACTTGCAAAATAAAATCGATAGTTATAATAACGCAATTGAAAATAAACTCCTTTTGGAGATAAATCCTTACGAAATAGTTTTTGATCCTTACAAAAAGCAGATTTTTAGCTCTTTGGCTACCGTATGGAAAGCATTTTGATAAAAATTTTATTAATTTTTTTTATTTTATTTGCTGCTTCAATAAATTAGATTATTATTTCTTGAATAGAACTGTATTATACGGTTGAAAAATAGAATAAGTCTTTGTATAAAAATAAAATGATGAGTACAGAAATTATTTGTTTGGCTTCTCAGATTATTTTTTTCTACCACATAATGGTATTTATTCAGCAATACGCTCAGATATATATTAAATTTATATTATGTAATATAAATATATATCTGGGACATTCCATGCCAAATCGACCACTTTTGACACCGACCCTTTTCGATTTTTCTGAAATTTTGATATCTTTCTCTACCCTATTGAAGACAATTTTCAGAATTTTTTCAAATTTTTTTACCCAACCAAAAAAAAGTTACGAGTTATTACAAAAAAACAGCGTTTTTTTTTGTTAAATAATCATAACTTTTTTGAAAATTGACTTTTTGGGATGGTTTTTTTTTTTTTCAAATTTTTGTCTTTAAATGTAATTTTTTTTTTTTGTTTAACTGAGGACTTTTTTT